AAAGTTCTCATCATTTTTAAGGACTTATGAAAAGTGTGGACCCTTCTGGAAACACCAGGCTGACCTCATTTGAATGTCCTGGCTTTAATCACATTCGCCAGCCCCTTTTCCCATGCAGCATATTTGCAGGTTCTCAAGATTAGAAAGTCATGTCTTTGGAGGAGCTATTATTCTGCCTACCATAATTGTGAACATCGGGAACACAAACTTTAATTTGGTGTATTAAAATGATTTGTCCATATGTGAGTGTGAGAGTGGTCTCATTAGAGTGTCCTCAAAAACCTCCAAGTCGGAACAGCTGTTATGACAGGGAGGAGATAAAGTCCAGCAAACCTGATTTCCCACAAAAGAGAGAGAGAGAGAAGGAGAGAGAGAGAGAGAGAGAGAGAGAGAGAGAGAGAGAGAGAGAGAGCAAGAGACAGAGAGAGAGAGAGAGAGAGAGAGGGGCAATGTTGTTTGAAAGAAGCAATGACACAGACATAACAAAACCAAATAAGAGACCTGACAATGACCCAGACAGGCCATGGAGATCTCATGACTGTTTCACTGATGGAGGAGACCTTCTTTCATCTCTCTCTCTCTCTCTCTCTCTCTCTCTCTCTCTCTCTCTTTCTGTATATGTGTGTGAGGGTGAATGTGTGTGAGCATGATGTTGTATGAGTGTATATGTGAACATGTGTGTTTATGAGTGAATGTATGTATGTGTGTGTATGTATGTGTGAATGTATATGTAAGCATGTTGGGGGGTAAATGTGTATGTGAGCATTCGTGTATGATTTGTGTGAGAGCGTGTGTGTGTGTGTGTGTGTGTGTGTGTGTGTGTGTGGGTGGGTGGGTGAATGTGGGGGGATGTGTGGGATGGATGTGTGTGTGTGTGAGTGACTGTATGTAAGCATGTGTGTGTGAGTGAATATGAAAGTAAGAATGTGTGTGAGTGAATGTGTATGTAAGCATGTGTGTGTATGAGGATGTGTGTGTGTATGTGTCTGTGTGAGCATGTGTGTGAGTGAATGTGTATGTGAACATGTGTGTGTGTGAGATGTGTGTGTGAGGATGTGTCTGTGAGTGAATGTGTATGTGAACATGTGTGTGTGTGTGAGTATGTGTGTGAGGATATGCCTGTGTGAGCATGTGTATGTGAACGTGTGTGTGTGTGTGTGTGTGTGTGTGTGTGTGTTGTGCATGTGTGAGTACAGCCACCCCTGCACCATGAAGCACAGTGAAGGTCAGAGGACAACTCTGTAGAGTCATGTCTGTCCTACCTTTCAGTGGGCTCTAGGAATAGGATTCGGGTCATCAGAGTTTCCTGATGTTGGTCTCCAGCCTCTCTTTCATTTAAGTTGCAGCCAAAGATCATTGGAAACCAGAGACCAGAGAAAAAGACATTTCTTCCACTGAAGCCTAAAAAGAAATAGGCTAGTATTTTTAAATAGAAATTAAACAAACAAAAGGCATGTCATGTCTCTCAGTCTTGTAGCTATTCAGGTGGTAGCAGGTATTATTAGATGTTGCTGAAGAAGGGTTGTCAGTATTCAGATGAGGAAGACGTCCATGACTGCTTGCTGCTGGTAATTGGAGGACTCCACAAGTCCAGGGGCACAGAGTGCCTGAGGGGGGTAGCACAGTTTCATTGCTTGCCTAATTCCCCACAGTATTTACACAGTTCCCACACCCCAAGGGATGTTCCAACACCATGCCTAGTGTCAAGCTGCAGAACTCAAGAAAAACCACATTATTAAGTCCCATTACAGCCTATTGTATCATTTCTATAGCATTGTATCTTATGACACAATCACCAGGGCTCTTAAGCCACCATGACACTGGGAGTTTAACAAGGATTTGCTTTTCGTAATAATGCTTAAAACAGAACAAACTAAATCATACAGAGTCCTGAAACAAAGAGCAGGAGAGGTGCTCTTTGCTTTCAAATATCTGCATGTCTGTCCTCAAAGCATAGGTGTGACTCTCTTCATGGCTATCTTCCTCTTTAGGGGTCTCAGCAAGGAGGCAGGAAAACTAGAACAAGGCTTAGTCGCATAAAAGTCACTGATGAGATAAAGGAAGATTAGGGCCATCTGCAAAGGGGTCAGAATTCAGGAAAAGTGCAGGAAGGGAAGCCAGAGAACACTTTGGAAATGAGGCAGTCAAGGAGCAGAAAGTGGAAAAGCCTGGAGAAAATGGAGAAACAGTCTAAGACTTCAGATAGACAAAAAAAAAAAAAAAAAAAAAATCCCCAAACTACCTATATCCAAATATGTAAGCTTTGGGGAGATAGGAAGAAGACAGGAGGGCTGGAGCGATGATGGCTCAGCCATTAAAGACTAGGCTCACAACCAAAAATATAAGGAAGAAGACAGGGCCAAGAGGAAGAAAACTTACATTGTAAAGCCCTAAGTACTTTCTACTTGTTCATTTGACCAAAAAAAAAAAAAAAAAAAAAAAGTGACTGGGGAGTAGGAATGCAGCTGTGTGTTAGAATGAATCCATAGCATGAACAACCCCCCCCCCCAAATCTTTATTATGTGTCAGGTTGTTTCAGTCAAGATGACTGGTCAGTATAGCATGCAGTTTCTGTCCTTCAGGACTATCTTAGATAGGGTTTCTGTCCCTGTCCCTGTAAAGGGACACTACGACCACAGCAACACTTACAAAGGAAAGCATTTAACTGAGGTCATCATGGTGGTGAGCATGGCGTCATGGCAGGTAAACATGGTGCTGGCAACATCTTGATCACAATGCAACAGGAAATCAACTGTGACAATGTGAATAGCTTGAGCATAGGAGAACTCAAAGCTCCCCCTCCCCCACAGTGACACACTTCCTCCAACAAGGCCACACCCAGTCTAACAAAGCCACACCTCCTAATGGTGCCACTCCCTTTGGAGGCCATTTTCTTTCAAACTACCACAAGGAGTTACATTCTACTGAAGCCCAGAGAGATGGAGATAAAAACAATATTTTTATCTGCAGCTTTCTGAAACTATGTGGGCATTAGATTGTCTGTAATATTTCTCCCAACTCAAGTTCTGAAAAGAGAGAGGAAATTTGAAAGTAGTTATTTGGATGATACTAATTTGTTTTTCTTTTAATCATTGCCCTCTGGTATTTTCCTATAATGAACTTACATTATATATGAAATGGAAATTGCTTAAGAAACAGTAGAGAATTGTTTCCTGTTCGTCGTGGTTTCTTGTGTGGTGAAGTATGTCGCTCATCCCAACCCTTTCCTTATCACCTCTGTATGCATCTTCTTTATTCATTGCACACATGTGAAGGACGCTATTGCCAACCTTTGAAGGCTTAGTATGATCCCCCAACACGGGGGGGGGGGGGGGGGGGGGGGGGGCGCGGGGAGAGAGACAGAAAGGGCACTGAGTACGACCAAGTGCTGGATTCTCTTCCTCACGCTCCCATCTCAGGTCCAGTGCACCCTCCACAGAAGCCTTCTGAGCAGTGCCCCTACTTTATCCACACTCTACTGTTGCTGCTGTTTCCGTTCAATCTTGGCTCAGCTCCTCCCTTGTTCCCTGTTCATCAACTTCTAATTTTATACGCATCCCCTTTCTCTAAAAGCTTATTGTCTATTACCCCACAAGTCTGAGATCCCATCGTGAACACAGAGATCTGTTGTGTTCAGTGTGGCTCCTATCTACTGATTAGTATCAACTTATTACTGATAGTAATAAGAGGTTCTAAGCCATCTTTGCCACACACCAGCATTGGCTGTGTGAATAAATAAATGAATGAAATGGCCCCTTTGTCATGCCTCTGCCAAGCTTTATTCCCATCCGATAGCCAGCAACAGCTAAGCCTTCTGCCAGCTCACAAAGCCAACTGTTAAATTCCCAGAAACTTTATGTGCCAAGTTGTTAAACTGTTTGTAGCTTCACGTGGGCCATGGTGAGCACACTTACACCACAGAGATCTGCAAATGCTACATGTCAAGACATTTCCACCCAAAGGAGTGGTTTCCCAGCATACCATGGTCCTTCCCTTCCATTGTAAGTGGGAGATTCAGCCAGCATTACAATAGCCTGCCACAGAGCTTGCTTGAAACCTCTCAATGAAAGGTACTGGACATTTTACAGCATATTAAATAAATGCCACATAATCCCTTCCCTGTTGGGGCTCAGTTCTTTTCTCAGAAAATTCATAATCTAAACATGTGGCTGTGGCAGGCTAGAAGCCTCAGACAGTAAAGGTGCCTGCTGCCAAACCTGATGACCTGAGCTTGATCCCTAGGACCCAGATAGTAGGGGACAGACTCCCACAAGTTGTCCTTTGGTCTCTGTGCATGCACTGTGACATGCACCCCACCGCCACACACAAAATAAACAAAATGTGGCTTTTTCTTCCAGGCGGCCAACCAGCTCCGAACTCATGGAAAAGTACTATGAGTTTTGAATGTTCCACCTAGTTTAGGCTCATTTCTGTCTAGCTCTTTTAGTTTAAATTACTGTTTTTCTTTATCTATCTTTTGCCTCAGGGTTTATATTACCTTTCTTACTTCTGTATATCTTACTTTCACTGCTTCTCTGTCTGGTAACTGCATGGCTTCTGGCCCCAGGGATGTCCAGTCCAACCCCCCCCCTTCTCTCATTCCCCTTCTTTAGAGCCTAGATTCCTCCTCCTGTTTATTCTCTGCCTGCCAGCCTGGCCCACCCCTTTTCTGCCTAGCTCCAAGCTGTTCAGCTTTTTATTAGAACAATCAGGTGCCCTAGGCAGGCAACACATCTTTACATAGTTAACCCCCCATCTTTACAGTGGTTAAACAAATGCAGCATGAACAAATGTAATGCACCTTCACACAGTCACAGTAACTTTCCACAGCATGAAGAAATGGAACGCACCTTTAAAAAGTTAAAGTAACTTTCCACAGTCTAAACAAATGTAACATAGCTTTACATAGTTAAAATAATATTCCACCACAAGAAATGTAACAAAATACTTGACATAAGACATACATCTGATCTCCTGAAACTCCCCTTTCTGTTTTTCAGATCCTTATGTGAAGATTCATCTGATGCAGAACGGCAAGAGACTGAAGAAGAAGAAGACAACCATTAAGAAGAACACGCTTAACCCCTACTACAACGAGTCCTTCAGCTTTGAAGTTCCTTTCGAGCAGATCCAGGTAACGTCAGACACGCATTTGTCCTTCCATCCAATTTCATGCCTTCAGATCACATCAGTGACAAGCAAAGAACCTTCGAGTCATCAGTGCCCGTGCCTTCATTAGAACTGCCCCATGCACATTTGATGCCTGAGCTCTGCCAGCCAGAACATAATAAAGCTCCACAGCATGAGAAATGCTGATGTGTCAGCTGGACCAGCTAGCTGCCTTCTGCCCAGCAGAAATTAAGGTGGAAAATAGAAAACCAACAGAACCGCTTTGCTATGTCAATAAGTTCGCCTACAGGATCCAAAAGCTAAGAGAGAATGGACTTGCCTATTTATTCCCAGGCTACAATAAGCAATCTGCTTCTATAGAGAAAAAATAACCAGTCCTTCTCCTTCTAACATTAGCCTGTGGTTTGTAGATAAACTAACTCACACACATTTCACATGCTAGAACACTGTATGTATTTGCTTATTTTCAACAGCAGTTAAATAAGTAAACTGTATTGTTTCCCTATTTCCAGTCACTTTTTCAGTAGTTAAACCTGTGAACACTTTGGCCCTTCTGGCAAACACTTGGAACATCAGTTTTCTATCAGAATTTATTTTGCAATATCTGCTCAGTGAACTTTGAGTTCCAAGACCTTATTCCTATGGAAACTAACACCCCCTGGCATTTTGTTTTTAATTCCACAAAACAATACAAAGCAAGGTATTGAGATAAAAAAAAAAAAAAAAAAAAAAAACTCTTCTTGTAAACTTACTCCTTTCAACTACAGTCCCATACCTATAAAAATACATTTCACCTATGAATTTCGGGAAGCACAAATATATTGAAAGGAAGACATATTAGAAACAAAATAGAAGTTGTGATTTGGGGTGGCATTTTAGAGGAGAGACGGCTGAGCCTGGCATGCTTCAGACTAGACCTGGGAATAGCAGGCCCACACTGGTTCCATCCTGCCTTCAAATTTGATTTTTCTTCCTTTTTTTTTTTAATCCAAGAATGCTGTTTTCCAAGCTTTATATTTCCCCAAATCAGTGCTTCTCAGCCTTCCTTATGCTGTGGCCCTTGTGGTGACCCCCCCCAACCATGAAATTTGTTTTGTTGCTACCCCATAACTATCACTTTGCTACTGTTATGAATCATAATGTAAATATCTCTGTTTTCGGTGGTCTTAGGCAACCCCTGTGAAACTGTTGTTTGACCCCATAAGGTCATGACCCACAGGTTGAGAACCACAGCCCTAAAGACCACAGTGTCTTAACTGCTTTTGAAGGGGGCTAGTTTTCTTTTAGGCTGAGATTATAAGATTATGTACCTGTCTTCTATCTTTCTCAATCCCCGTGAAACATTTTGTGAAGGAAGCAAATTATGCTAATCTCTGAAAGCATGCAAAAAAAAAAAATCATCATGGTCACCGCCATCCAAAACTGCAGAAATAAACTACAGAGGCAACTGCAGAATAGATCCATTGGGTGCCCTAATCAGTTCACCTCTCAGTAACATAATCAAGTCTGTCCTAACTCTGAAAACATTCATTATGTTTCCACAAAATGTCCCCATGCTGGTCCCTTCATAATCACAGAGCATTTGCTTGGGACAAGATCTGAGAATCAAGGCCACAAATATCATCTTCCCCTTGCTTCCAAACACTACCTATTTGATAGGTAATTAATTTATTTTGTTTATTTGTGGTACTTAGGGATGAACCAACCACCACTGAGCCATATCCCCACCCTAGAAAGATAATTTTCTTAATATTGCCATCATGGCAAGGCTGCACATATGAGACAGTGCTACATTTTGCCTTCTAAATTCCACATTCAAAAGTAATTGTTGGGCCCCGTGAGATGGCTAGATGGATAAAGACACTTTCTGCCAATCATGATAATCTGGGATTGATGCCCAGGACTCATGTGGTGGAAGGAGAGAACCAACTCTCGCAAGTTGTCCTCTCCACATGTGCAGTATAGTGCATGCCCGTGCACGCATGAACACACACACACACACACACACACACACACACACACACCACACACACACAAAAAGTGAATAAAGAAAATTTCTTTTTAAAAAAGGCAGTAGTTGAGGCGGGGCATTGGTGGCACACGCCTTTAATCCCAACACTTGGGAGGCAGAGGCAGGCAGATCTCTGTGAGTTTGATTGAGGCCATCGTGGTCTACAGAGCGATTTCTAGGACAGGCTCTAAGCAATACAGAGAAAGAGAAACCCTGTCTTGAAAAAACAAACAAACAAACAAAAAACAAAACAAAACAACAACAACAAAAAGGACAGTAATTGTAAATTTTGCCTTATTGGGGGGGTGTGCAGGGGTGGATGCAAAGGGACAGAGCAATGAATGGGATTGAGCTACATGAAGTAAAAGACACGTAGAATAATAGAGGGGAAAAGGTAGTAGCTGTTTTTGCCGTCCCTAAAATGAACCTCAGTGACATTCTCAATACAGAGATGTCCTTGTGTGCTTGTGTCCTCAGAATCAAAGTCCTCCAGGGCTGGAACTCAGTGGATCTTCATCTGGGCCTGGCTTTCATCATTGGATTTTTCTTCCCTTTAATGCTGGCCATAAATTAATATAGCTACTTTATTTTCATCTTTTACCTTTATCTCCAGTGTCTAAATCAGAGCCATCGCATATTCTGGCTACCCAAATTCATTAACTGGGAAATAGAACTGAGCTGTTCTTTAGAGAGTGTTTTTTTATGCTATAATAATATGAATTTGCTTTCATAGATTCAGTCAGTCCAATAGAGGGAGTTAGTAAATAAACCCTCACAATCTGATGGAGTCCCAGGGAAAAACGTGTGTGTCCTAAAGTGACACCCATTTAATATCAATGCCAGATACACAGTAGTTACTTATTCATGTTCATTAAGAGAATCTTACTCAAGAAAAAGTATATTTTATTTAGTTCATTCCTTTTCTAAGATTTATACTGTGTTGTCATTGTTCATGGTCACAATTATATGACTAGGTCAAATCCTTTTAGTTTTACATAAAATACTGGCTGTCCTTGAAATGACATCACAATGATTACTCAGAAAGTTTTATTGAGAATAACAGCAATGCTGGGTGGTAATGGCTCACACCTTTAATCCCAGCACTTGGGAGGCAGAGACAGGCAGATCTCTGTGAGTTCGAGGCCAGCCAGGTCTACAGAGTGAGTTCCAGGACAGCCAGGGCTGCTACACAGAGAAGCTCTGTCTTGAAAAACCAAAACAAAGGAAAAAAACAAAGAACAGCAACAACAAAAAAGAATGACCTAAGTCCTAATGCCAGAACCCTCGTGGATGAGACTCGTATAACAGTGTCACAGCCTTCCATAGGCGGTTTATAGCATGGAGTATGGAGACCAACGCACTCAGTCCTTATGTGATCTCAGATGAGTTAGAAACTCTTGTGAGCTTCCAGTATCTTTCTCTATGCAATGGAACTATTAATAGGATCTACTGAGAGAAATAACTGAATTATTCTGTAAAGTTACTAAGATAATATGAAATATGTAATAAAAATTTAGTGTGTATGTGTTAAGCTAACCGCCAGGCATAATGACACACACCTGTAATCTCAGCACCTGGGGAGAGGGTAGAAACAGGGAGATCAAGAGATCAAGATCATCCTCAGCTGCATAATGAGCTTAAACCCAGTCTGAGTTACATAAGACACTGCCTCCCCCCACCCCAAAGATAATAAGATAGCGATGGCAGCAAAGACAGTAGTGATAGTGACAATGATGTAGAGATAGAACAACAAAAACTGGACTGACGTTTCCACAGTCAAGAGCTTTCAGCCTCTTCCTGGTGGTTAGAAGTGGATTCTTAGTTCTCATTCCTCAGCTCCCACGGAAACTCTGTGTGTCCCAGGGCTTTGTCTGTAGGGCTGGCTGACACTTGTGCATTTTTGTGTCCTCTTTCAGAAAGTGCAAGTGGTGGTAACTGTTTTGGACTATGACAAGATTGGCAAGAACGATGCCATCGGCAAAGTCTTTGTGGGCTACAACAGCACCGGTGCCGAGCTGCGACACTGGTCAGACATGCTGGCCAACCCCCGGCGACCCATCGCCCAGTGGCACACTCTCCAGGTGGAGGAGGAGGTTGATGCCATGCTGGCTGTCAAGAAGTAAAGGGACGAAGAAGCCTTTCTGCATTTGCCCACATAGTGCTCTTTAGCCAGTATCTGTAAATACCTCAGTAATATGGGCCCTTTCCGTTTCCAGCCATGCATTCCTCATACAACTCAGTGGTACTTCAGATCCCGTTTTTGATTTGCACAAATTTAAGTGTAGAGCGCCCCCATGCCCTTCTTCATACCACTGCCCTCCAAATCTTCTTTTAAGCAATATGATGTGTAGATAGAGCATGACTGAAATTATGTATTGTATCACACCGTTGTATATACCAGTATGCTAAAGATTTATTTCTAGTTTGTGTATTTGTATGTTGTAAGCGTTTCCTAATCTGTGTATATCTAGATGTTTTTAATAAGATGTTCTATTTTAAACTATGTAAATTGACTGAGATATAGGAGAGCTGATAATATTATTATATGGTAAATATAGTATCGTCTGCATTCCAGCAACAATATCAACTTGAAAGGCACTAGTACAGTTCAACTGATATCTTAAAGGACAACTTAAACCCAAGCTTTCTATTAAATCATTTGAGTACCGAGATCTGCTCACACTACACCTTCTTAGGTGGGCAAACCCAATTTTGTAGAATTCTTTCACAGGCAAATAGCATGACCTGAGCAGCATCCAGGCTGACCTCAAGGAAGCAAAGCCACAGCCCAGAGTAGCATCTGTCTGTATGTGTCTGCAAAACTAAAACCATGGCTTCACTCTTCCATTCAGAGGAGTGACGAACAAGAGTGAGTTCCGATGACTGCATCTAGAGTAACACCTCAAGGGTGTTCTCCGTGTGTGTGTGTGTGTGTGTGTGTGTGTGTGTGTGTGTGTGTGTGTGTGTGTTCGCGAAAATGTGAAAGTTTGCACGTGTTATGTGTGGTGCATGCCTTTGTTTGGGGTTAGGGTGGGAGAGGAGAAGCTAAGAGAAGTCAGCGTTTGTGAAATATTGCCTGACTATTTAAACAGAAAATCATAGCTCTCCATTATCACATTTATATAAAACGTGCAACCTGTGAATTCTGACCCAGATTTCACAACAATAATGATTCCAAACGGTATGCACATAAGACTTTGTAATGAAATATTTTATTACACAAAACCAGATGAGAAGGAATGCAGAATATTTTTAACACAGCAATCTGTGCTTATTACACAAAATTACTTTGTGGTAAACAGACAGTATTGTAATCCCATCAAAAGATGAAAAACAACAAACAATTAGCCATAGTTCTGAATGCACTTCAATTAAGCCAAAACAGACAGCTAGTGATCTTTTTATATGCTCTTTTTACTTAAGTTTTAATTTGTCCTTTAAACAAAGGTGAAACAAAACCAAGAACAAGTTCTAGTAAACTGAAGCAACCTCTTATGTACACTAGATGCTCGATGTAGGAGAAGTTTTTCAATGTTTTCACTGTTGCTCTGTAGTAACTAGCACTATTCTGAAGCTACTAGTCATTCCATAAGAGTCTTAAGGATTGCTCTGTGTAACACTGTGACTGCCCTGTGTGCTTAGACACGTAGTTTCCTCAGTGGATAGCACTCAACTTATTCCGTAGTGATATTGTAACAATACTGCCATTCCCTCTTACTGCACTGCCCAACGTGTGTGTAGCACAAACAGTTCTCATTACTAAGGACCAATTCAGAACTGAACAGCTATGCATAGGACAGAAAGATACATAGAGTGGGGGGTAGGGAGAACACACAGCATTTTGTCAACACTGTGCACTAGTCTATATTTGTCCTGCTTCTTTGGTAGACAGCCACTTCAGGAAGGTGAGCCTGCTACCTAACACTGCTTCTAGTCTCTTCTCCCACTTGCTATTGTGACCTGTTTTCACCTTCAGGCCACAGAGAATAGCAATGCTCTAAAGTGAGAGACTGTCTTCACAGGTACCAAAACAAAATGGAGGGATGCTAAGCATGGCCTCGTGTTTGCTCTTTAGGATTTAGCTCCATGTTTTGGACAACACTCAAGAGAATCCCCCAAAAAAAGGGCTGTTGGTAGACTTTAAACACGGAGTTGGCTGTTCCACACATACACAGACCACAAAAATCAAATCCCAGGTGTGATTCCTTCCTCATCAGAGAAGAGGCAAATAGTTTGCCTTTCATCCCCATCACAGCAAACTCTTCAGAAATGGAACAGACAGGAAGGACAGGGTCTGTGGGTGAACAGCACTTTTTAAGAACTAAAAACATGGATGACAGAAGATGCACACTCACAGGTGAGATTAAACAGCAGTTTCAAGAGGAGACTCGAATGAGATCCTATTTAAGGGACCAAGTCCTACCAAAGAGGAGTTTACTCTTAACAACACCTTAAATACCAGACAATGACATTTCATTTCATCATCTCCCGATTTAAGTTGTACACGGTAAAACACTTCCAAAGACGCAGCTCTCAGCTGCAGAGCAGACATCCTCTCCTGCATTCCAATACTACTAGCACATTCTCTTGCAACACTGCCAACGTGGGATTGTCACCATAGAATTAGTTGGTACTATATCATCTCTCATGAGCCGGTGACTGGACCTGCTTTAGGACCAAGATCCATCCTCGGATAAGCCACATGTACCTTTCTGACAAAGCTGTGTGAAGTCTTAGACGCTGATGCCCTAGAACGATCCTAGTTGCCTTTGTGTATATTTACTGCCTGCTTGAGTGTTCCTATGTGTGGGTTTTCCCTGTGTCTCGTAGAAATGTTGGGGTGTTTTCTTCTGCCATAAGGCTCGTGGCCCGCGAGCCAACTCCTTTAGCTGTATTTTCCCTTCATTTTTTTGATAAGTGGTTTAAATTTTGTTTCACTTTGTGTAGTGAACCCCCTAGTAGTTTTCTGATTGTTGTTAAAAATGACATAACATATTACATGGATACTCAATAAAAATGTTTTATTTCCTGTTGATGGTTGCTGTCTTTCAACTCTTTTTGTTCTCGACTCCGGTGTTACTAGAGGACGAGTTGACCTTGTGGATGGCCAGAAGCATTGGCGGCTAAAAGAAAACTTGTGCTAAATGCCAGCCTCAAAGTCACTTCTGGGACAACAGAGCAGCTGCAGGGGAATTATGCCCAGAGGGTGTCTGTCCCTATCCTTCCTCACCTGCGTTACTCTGTGCCTGTCACAAAGCCCCTTAGCATAGTTCAGAACTTTTCAGTTTGCCAAAAATGTGTCCTGGAGGGATTTCACTTCAATGCCAGCTAATACACACTTCCCCAGAATGAAACTAAAATCAAATTGTTTTAAGTGTCTCTTTGGAGGATAGGAAGAATATTAAAGTCGATGCCTGCTAAAATGTTTAGAAGCAGATGAACGACTTTCCAACATCCTTTCACATCCGTGTGGTACTTACTATGTACCATTCTTTACTAGATACTGGATCCCAGCTTCAGACTGAGATGTAAACACCTGTAACGCTGCCTTATGACATGCATACTTAAAAGTGAGCACCTTGGAGGGGGAATAGGTAGCTCAGTATGTAAAGTGCTCACCATAAAAGCCTAAGGGCCTGAGGCTAGCAAGACAGATCAGTGGAAAGAGGCACTTCCATAAATGTCTGACAACAGGACTTTGATCCCTGGAACCCATGTAAAGAAAAGAGCCAGCACCATGTAGTTGTCCTCTGATTTATACATGAGAACTGTGGCACATACACACATATAAACATACACATGCATACACACATGTATACACACTATATATATATATATATATATATATATATATATATATATATAGTGGGTTTTTTCCAAGACAGGGTTTCTCTATGTAGGCCTGGCTGTCTAGAACTCTTTCTGTAGACTAGGCTGGCCTCAAACTTAGAGATCTGCCTGCCTCTACCTCTGAGCGTTGCAATTAAAGGCGTGTGCCACATTGCCTGGCTAAAAACTGTAATCAAAAGAAAAAAGCGCCAGGCAGGGGTGGGAGGCAGAGGCAGGGGGGTCTCTGTGAGTTCCAGACCAGCATGGTCTACAAGAGCCAGTTCCAGGACAGCCTCCAAAGCCACAGAGAAACCCTGTCTCAAAAAACAAAACAAAAAAAAAAAAAAAAAAAAAAAAGGAAAGGAAAGAAAAAAAAGCATAAGACTATAGCTCAACCTCAGAAACCATGTTAAAACAATAGCAGCTATAGTGGTGGGGTTGTATAATCCCACAGAGCAGGGAAGACAAAAGCAGGCAGGTCTCTGAAGCTCTCCGGCCAGCAAGCCTAGTTTAATTGGCTAGCCTGGGGCCAATAAAGAGACTGTCTCCAAAAAGACCTGATGAATGTTACTCAAAACTGACCTCTGACCTCATCACAAATATACACCTTTGACCCCAAAGCTTTCACTGGACCAATGACACAGCACATATTGTGGTGTGTCACCTTGGTCCCCTTTCAGCACGGAGGGACTGTACAGCTTCTTGGCTGTTGTCTGATGACAGAGTGCCCATCCCTCTGCTACGGATAGCTGCTCCCCCTAAGTTCAGTGAGTAGTCCACAAGCTGGACTCAACTCCACAGCCTGGAGGGATGGCCCAGGAATATATTCACATCCCATGCTGACCCAGGAACTCCACAGCCCAGAGCAATGGTAGAGAGAACTTTTACAGCAGTTCTGTAGTTTAACCTCTACCCCGTTTTCTTCACCTATTTGCTGCTACAAGATCACCTCAGTAAAACCCCTTTCTGTAAGCTCTATCCCCACAATTACTACAATACAGTCTTTGACAGGAGAGATCACAGGAAGTTTCCTAGAGATGCCCAGACAAGAAGGAAACCCTGAAGGACTTGGCAGGTGTCACCCAAGCCATGACATGGACAAGAAGTTATTTGGCAGATTTATCCATGATCAAACTCTGATGGCCAGCTAGCTCCATCATACTTCCTGGAATCGGCTCCATTAGTCACTCCAAATGAGGATAGGGACCAAGCCTCCATTGCTTAAACAGGCTAGGAAGAGACCAGGTAATTAATTACTGAGCACTATGAGGCAGCAGTTAGCAAAGACTTCTCAATTTAAATTGGGAAAAGAAACTCAAGGCAGGCCAGGTTACAAACAAAGTGTCATCGACATGGTAAGTCCAACTGTTAGGCTGTCACTGAAGAGGATTTTTGTTTCATGAAAAACTCTCAAAATTAGATCCCAAATGAATGAAAGAGTATTTTTAATGAATTACCAGCTGCAACAGATACTCCCCTGTG